AGCAGAAAACCCTCATGTTCATACTAATGAACAACCATGTAGTAAATATTAAAGATACTTGTCACCTTTTTTCCGCCAGGAAGAATGGAACTCTATGTTTCTATGGCACGTGGGGAATGGCAATTCCACCATTTCTGTCCTTGCAAATTAAAAACGATGACTACCAAGAAAAATCTCCCGAAATACGTGTCAGAATGAAACTGTGCATAAAGGTTATTTGTTTCCTGTATTCAAACTTTGTCTTCCACAACTTGATCTAAACCAGAGTTTTCTATATCCTTGTGTTTGATTTTACCGTTTAGAGACTCAGAACGTTTGGTGCCAAAAATTAGATTTCCTGTGTGTACCTGAGTACATCTTCTTGTTCAGACTATATTCACAATTAACCTGGAATAATAGCTGTGGTGCTATAGAAAGCTTCTGTAACTAGCACTTTTGATATATTAAACATATACTCAAACCAGGAGAGATTCAAAACTTCTCCTTTACGGAGACACAGAACAGGCAGTTACTCATTCCTCAGCTTAAGCTTCTCTGCTTAAGCTGATCTCAGCAGAAACCCAGATCAGAGCTCCGCGTCTAATCTCAGGAAACTGGAGTCCAAATTCTGACCTGAAGTTTAGTATTTTAACTAATTTGTAATATTTCCAGTATTTACTATTTCTATATAACACCTTACTTCTTGGTTACCAAGTGTAGGACAGTACAAAAATAACTGTATTATAAAAGAGCATTTAGTTGTATGGAACGTTGCATCTTAATTGCATTAAAAGCAAAAAAAGTCAACGCTATTTTACTCCACCCCATGCTAAAGCTAATATTTGTAGTTCAGGCTCTCTGTGAGTTCCTGAAAACTTAAAATTTATTAATTTCTTTCAACCTGAAAAGTGCACCAAAAAATAGGTAGTAGTGTAAAGCCCCCAAAGAAATACAAATTAGAGGAATAAAATTAAATGGCAAAAAACTATCAGTCATGGCGATGACTGATCAACCACAATAGTGGACATTACTAGAAACAAACACTTTTAACCATATGCATGCTTATATTTAGAAGAATATAGCACATTTATACTTCAGTACATAAGATATAGCTACAGTCTATGAAAAATTACTAGTAAAGGCTCACTGTACTTGACACTTTCCGACACCGTATCCTCTGAACCTGCTACACGTGGGTGTTTGCATACAGTATTTCACATTTTAGAATACATTAACTATAGACTAGCCCAAATAAAAACCCTTTTAACCTGAACATTGGCTTGTCTTTGGGAAGTTCATACCTTAACACAAATTTTCAGCCCTAGAGCCATCAGTTACAAACAGAACTTGAGGTCTCCTGACCAACAAGCAACCCATTCCGTGAGCTGTCTTAAACATTTTGCGCAAAGACTGAAGTCAACTGTTTCTGCTGAGTATGTGACACAGGGTACTGAATTTTCGGAGGTACTTGTAATATTGACCATGAATGAGACAAATGCTGAGGTACAAAAATACTAAGGTTTACAGTGCGCCCAGAACATTGGTAACACATTGGAGGTGATGTATTTATCAATGTCCAATATTAGAAGCTATAATCTGACACACTTCGGTGTCTCCAGTAGGAAAAACTCTTTATACCTAAGACGGTCAGCCCACTGGGTGTCACTGTTGCAACATTAATATATAGCATGAAGCTTCATTTAACAAGAAATGTAAGTAGACTCTTTTATGTGGTATCACACTTTTCCTAAGATAGCCTAACATAAAAAACAACTCATTACAATTGCATTTGCTTTTCATAATTCTAGTAAACTCACCAAGGTTTACATATCTGGCATGCAAGAAGAAATTTACTATTGAGCTGCCAAATAAAAATGGCAGAGAAGAGGTTTGAGCAGGATGCAGAAATAACTGAATCAAGTGGAATTCCAGGATTTCTTAGCATCATCAGAACCCTTTTTTTCTGCAGGTTCATTGTGGGTTATTTTTGACTGTTAATTTTTAGAGTATGCAGATTCTTTTTTAAAAAAGGGTAATAAATAGCTGCAACAAGAAGTCACAATAAATTTGACAGACACATTTTGTCCTTTGAAAATTTGGTAAGGTATGCAATGTCAAGGTCTGCAAAAGAACATGCTTTTGGGTGGCATTTACAATTTGAAGTCTTACAAAAGCAACATTTCTATAGCAGAGAAAAACTGAAAAATACCTGTTCAGAACAAACACTTATGGGCTCTCTCAGAACAATCCAGATGACACTTTCAAGAAGAGGTGGAACAGTGAGAGAGCCAAAGTAAGTCCAGTAGTCCAGGGACTTGGGAAGCAGACAGCTAGGATTGAAGTTTGTGAATAGTGCTCTTTTACCCTGGAAAATAATAGAAAAAAAATAATCTTATTGTGGTTCGAGATAAAATACATTTAGAAAATTGTTTCTTACACAAAGTTAAAAGAAAAAGGAAGAAAAAAACCAAGGCAATATTATTGAAAAGCAAGAGGCCAAGATGAATCATGCCAAAGGAGGTAGAGCTTGTTCCATTACGGAGTGGGCTGGCAGCATCCTGGATGATCACAGCAGGTGACCCAGTGCCCTTCTGATGAGGTCGTACCTCTGCGACAGCTTTGCTGCTGCTGTCCTTGATGCCAGCAGGACACCATCAAAGGTGTCTCGTTAGCATGGGCTCCCCATAGTTACAAATGACCATGAGATGGAGGTTGGAGGGAGAGGTGAGAAGACATTAAGATGACTGTAGGTATGGTCTCTGTGAGGCTGGTGGGGTAACCCCAGGGGTTACTGCCACCCTCTCCCCTTCCCACTCCCTCCTCCCAGGCCCACGGGTTACTGCTTCTCCCTCTTCAGGCTACCAGGCCAGAGATGCCTGTACAAAACATGATGCTGAGCAGGAAACCTTCCTCTCATCTTGTTCACAGCTTTCCATAAAGTATGTCTTATCCTGTTAATATTCTCATAGCAACAGATTTGTCAGAGGTTAGGTTCTGTGCAGAATTAGCTTTTTCCTCTCATCTCTTATTGTATAAAAATTACTCTGTGTCTGCTTAGTTTTTAACTTCCCTAACAAGAATGCTCCTAAACTGTCCCAAATCAGAGTTAGATACGGAAAGCTATGAAGCTAGTGACTAGAGAACATGAAGGTGAAGGAAGTAGCAGACAGGTTACCAAAAAAACAAAACAACAAAAGCAACCACCAGTATTAGTATTATTTTAGAAATATTCGTTCACCTTGATTCTGATGGTGTCCAAGCGGTCAGTAATCTTCTTCAGCTGAGGGTTGCATTCACCGATCTATTAACATCAGAGAGAAGAAAGAAATACTTGAGCTCCAGAAAAAAACAGCAAAAATAAATGATGAAAAAGCTAATGCATACTGAAACTATTTTACATAGCTTTACTTAAGCGACAGTGAGATCTGGTGGCTTTTGTGAGTACAAGCCTGTGACTAGCTGGGCCTTAGAAACAGTAATGGACATAAAGAAGATCCACTCTCTTGCTGACAGTAGTCATTCTGGCTACTCATAGTAATTACTTCAGCTATAAAAGACCCACAAACTTTACGCTGTAGGGAACAAAAGTAATTTCATTTTCAGGTTTTGTATGCAAGATATTAAAATTTTCAGGCTTACATCTGAAATTTTAACTGCTTATAACAGGTGAAAACATCATTTTTACATATCCCAAGCAGAATTTGCGTGCTAAGAAATCCAGTGAAACTTTCCTTAGACCGTTATAATGTAAACTAGAAACAGAATTATTGAAGCAGTTCTTTGCAACTGCTGCGTGTTAATGGCTGACCCACTGTGCCAGCACCAGCAGGAGCTGTGCCCGGGAAGCTGTGGCAGCCAGGCAGAAACCACAGGCTTGACCAAAGCCCTATCTTTTGTCGTGGATTGTGTGGATTCCCCATCTGCTTTGTCATACAGAAGCCAATGAAGCTCTTGCAGGAGTGGAATTTCATCTTAGAATTGGTGCAGGAGGCACAGAGGTATATAACAATTACAAGGAAATGGTCCAGATTCTGGGTTTTCCTTTTTCATTTTTCAGAAGAAACTACCAGCTCAAGAGACAAACCATTGAAGAAGCATTCAAAACAAATCAGATCAGCATTGTTAGTCAAGCACAAGTTATTGGGATCCACATAGAGGCTGCTGAATTAAGTTCCATATCTTATTCTGTACAAGAGTGCAGCGTAGGTGCACCGAAGAGCCTCGCTGTCTTGAAAATCTATTAATCTGGAATTTCTAACCTTCAAGCAAGCACAGCTTTCTATACTGGAAAGTAAACAGCACAAAGGAAACAGTACAATTTAATGTCCATACAAAACAATTATCTCTTTAGCAATAATTATACCAACTATCACCGTTATCCCTTTGGGCTCCTAATGCAGATTTATTAGGAGGGCTGAGACATTTTCTTCTCACCTTCAGAAATACAGCCATGACTGCTAATCCATCTGACTGACGAGCTGCCTCAACAAAACTGGAATACTTTTCTGAGTTCCAGTGGACCACATGAAGCTGAAAAGCAAGAGACACAGACAGCATCAACTCCCGCTGAACTCAAATAATCACAGATTAATACTACAACTTTACTGGTTTTGATACTCTGCTTTTTTGTAGTCAGAGCCATTCAGTTTTCTAAATGCAATTATTGTTTGAAATTGGTAAATATACAGTTCACACAAATGGCAAAGCATTTCCAGTGGCTGGGATTATTCAAAGTTTAGCAGCAATCAGCACACTGCAGTGCTTGGCAAACTGCTCTTGCGTCCCCAGATTTTGAACAGAGAAGCTAAGACATCCCATGGTTACATAATGAAAGCTTTTAAATCCATTTTTAGTACAGCTGATTTTAAGAAGTGATTGAAAATCACGAGAATGTTACTAGTTGCTCCTCTTTTTCCTTAATCAAGCTTTCAGTAACATTCATCAGCCACATAAGTAGCTACAAAGCAGGCAGAGGAACACACATTAAACTTGCAATGACCCCTCTTCCCTTGTTTAGTTTAAGCTGGACATCAGAATTTCATTTCTGATACTTCCCAAATGTAATTTTCTACGATTACCAGTAGTTAGGCACTTACAAGCAGCTTGATTATCTCAGGTTTGAGCATTTGCATTGCCAACATGCATTTTTCTGGAACTGTCCTGGCGTAGTTGCTTAAGCAGCTTAAAGACACCACCTAGCCAGGTGGGGAAAGGCAAAGCATGTGATGTCTACCCCCATACCACCTCAGTCCCTCCTGCTAAGCCTGGTTTTTCTAAATCCTGGCCACGCTCCAGGCGGGAGCTCCTGGTTCCCGGGAAGCGCCAGGACATCCCAGCCTTGAGGAACGGTCCGGCTGCCAAACTGGAGAGAGCACAAACACTCACACAGCACTTAAGACTAAGTACTTCACAAACATTAATTACTCTCGCAAGTCCTCAGTGGATTAGCGAATCTTACTACCCGTGGTTTTGAGGCAAGGAAAGACAGGCTCAGAAGCAGGGCATAGGATTGGCTTTTCTAAAATTGGTGACCAACTTTTCAGACTTTGAACTTTACCCTTTAGCAGTGCTGAAAAGCATCTCCACTGAATGACTTAAACTGGGATGAACCCCTGGGAAAAAAAGGTTTGCTTTTGGAATACAGCACTGCAAGACCTTTAAAGTAAAGGCAATTTAGGAAAGCTGGAACTTGCTTTAAAGGCTTTTTATGGGAAGCAACGCAGCTGCATGGTTGAAATAGGGATCTAGCAGCATGAAGATTTTGACCCTAAACCTCAACCCTTGCCTAACCTCTATAAGTTTTAATTTTCTGTATCTGTAAAACAGAGGTGTTACTTGATGTTACAGGGTATAATTAATGTTTGTTAAGCACTTGGTCTCTGAAGCGCTGAAACATGACTTCCAGCAAGTAAGGAATCCCACTGGTATCAATAATACGTGCATGCTCACGATGAAACACATGCTGGCTCACAGCTTCAGAGATCCTTGAAGGAAAGTTGCTAAAAATATTATAAATTAAACCAGGAGGAGAACACAGTCCACTAACCCATTCCCAGGTGGTTTAGTATCCTGGAGCTCATATTGCCTGCACCGCTCACTATCGTAAGTTCACAAAAAATCAAACAACTTTTAAACAATTGCATTTTTACATACACAAAAAGAAAACAAGATACTCTCAGTCAGAATTGACTTTTATTGTGGATTTTTAAAAAAAGCGAAAAACCAACAAAGAACAAAAAGCAAAATTCCCCCAACTAAATAAAGCCCGCTCCCACTCCCCAATAGCTTTGCCAAAAACCCGCCAACCCAACCCCCCTAAAACCCAAAACCCCCAGACAAACAGAGCTGCGAAACGCTTTGAGGTACAGCCCCATTCTCAATTGCTTGTGATTTCTTTTTAAGGAATATATCCCGTCTTACCACCGCGCTGTCACTGCAGCTTGTGAAGAGCCCTTGATCAGACCATACGTTGCCACAAAGAATGGAGCCATGGATCCCTTCGGCTTCCCGGTGGGCTTAGGGGGCTGAACCTTGCAGTCGTCTTTACCTGTACACTACTTCTTTCTTCGACTCAGTCGATGCTTTTTCTTGAAATCTTACACATCTTCCTTATGAAGGTGAGCACTGAAACCATCTTCATGTCTCCTTCTGAGGTATTTTCTTTTGTGTGAACAGTGCTCGGAAGCCTTGATTTTAATTCTGGGTTTCTTATCCCAAAGCCAAAGTGACATCTAGAGAGCTTCTTGTGGAGGGTTACCCAATCAACAGGTAACGGAAAGGGTTTTAGACTGGCTAGAAATTCAGAGATATTTTCTCCTTCCATTTGGTTTCTTAGATGGGAAACATACATATATTTTCTCAGCTAGAAATTTGGTTTTGGTACTTAATGGTTTTAAAGCACCTCTATTAATTCTTTATATTCCATCTCACCTGGTTCCTGTGGAAAACATAAGCCTTTAAACACTGCAAATGTCACTTTTCCCCATTAGTGTTAGAAAACTGATTTTTTTTTTTTCTGACCACTATCTCTTACAGCATTTCCAGTAAAATTTGATCACACCACTGTGCATACATTTCAGTTTTTTCTTCTTTAGTATTAAGTCTTTTATTTGTCCATTACCATTTATTTTTATACTTTTTACTTCTTTTTAACCCCAGAAATCTCTTCCACTGAACTATGTGCTGTTAAAGATCTCAGCCTCACCAAACCACTCCATGTTACTTCCATTTTGGAAAAAGGAATCGGACACTGAGCACTTTTTACTGTAGACTACTCAAACGCACCGAAGGAGACAGGGCAGGAGCGAACTCTCCGTGCCAGAGCGGACGGTGCATTTCTCCCTGTGGCACGCTGCCCCCACTGAAACGCAGGACCTCCACAGACAGCAGGCACCCTGACAGCTACTCAGGTGCAGTTCTCAAAGTCATCACCATCACACTCCTAAATGCACCGCAAAATGCAACACTCCTTAAGTCTTGCATAAACTTTACACTGCACAGGCCCCAAAACAAATAATTCTGCGGTTTGTAACTGAAGCTGACTGTGAAAATATTCTCCAAGGAAGAGACAGCAAAAGACAAAGTTTAAAATAGCTCTTGAACATTAAATCTTGCTCTTATCAAGCTCTTGTCTTCTGTACTCCTTTTTTAATCCTCTCCAAAGCTTTCAAATAGCTTCTCCTTTGAGAAAGGACCAAACACGCAACACGTCAGGAAGACCGCTTGTCTTTTGGTAAAACGGGGGGAGAATGAAAAGCGAGCAGAGGAGGGGCAACACAATTCTTAAAATGGAAAACTAGTCACAAGCTTAGAGGTACAGGTGACTCCATGTAAAGCCTTACCTCTGCCGCGTACTTCATCCCATCCACCGCATGCTCGGAGCCAGCTTCATCATTGGACCCCCAATGGAAGTGAATCTGGCGCAGCCTGTAGGTCCCGCTGAGCGGCCCCCCGGTCAACACTGGAAACCCAAGCAGAAGGAAAAGGCTTCACCGCAGGAACCGGAGCCGCTACCCACATCCTCTAACCTCACACCCGACTTCAGTCTTCGGACAGTCCCCCACTCCTCCTCAAATGCTGTCTCAGGTGGCTTCCCATTTCTCTGGAGCACTACAGAAACCCTCACTTGTCCAGGATGTGACTTCCAAAATTTTGTGTAGGTTAGTGGGTTATGGCCCACTAAAGGGTATATTGTTATCACCACGTTTGTCTTCCTATGGGCTGGATATTTCTCAGAAGATGGTTTGCAAGTCGTTTCCTCTCTTGAATGTTATTTAAAAGAATCACTGAGAAATTAAGCTTAAAATACAGGTTTTATGAATAAAGGGGAGGATCAGAAAAATATAATGTGAACAGAATCTCTTCTCTTTGAAATTTGCAGGAAAGTATGTGGAGCTTAAAAAAAAATTCAAGGCTCTTCCCTTCATTTGCAACAGTTACATCAGATGGAAGTCTGAGAAAAAGGAGCATATATTAAGATAAATAAAATGAAGCCAACACTACATATGCACTGTATGACTGCAATATTACTGACACTTAATTAGCCATTTATTTCAACCTAACACTCATTTGGGTGGGCTTTTCATTGTTTTGCTTTTGCAAGCGCTCGTCTTTTGCTGATCAGAGCTGGAACCAAAACTTCTCTGCACAGAGATCTGAATGTGAATCACATTCAGAAAGATTCCTCATTCACCGCAAAACAAATCACCCCACTCTCCCAGCTCCATATCTCTGAGGGTTTGGGAATTAGTCTGGGCTGGTTTACTGGCTCATTATAGATATTTTAAGGGGAAATGATGGGAGCTTTAACCAGACAGTTTTTAAATTAAGAGCACCGGGGAGGACAACAGTCATTTTTTCTCTTTTCTGGGTTTAGTCCAAAAATTAAACTTTGTTAGGAACAAAATACCACCAAATAAAGATAAAAGAAGAATTTCTTTAAGTTGCCTGTCTGCTAGCACAAGTAGCCTGGCTAATGAAAAGGAACTGGAACTGTTTATCTGTGGGGAAAAATATTTGACCTCCTTAAAACTTCAACTCAAACCCATGTTTTTACAGAGCCTATAAACCTAGTGAACAAAGGGGATGGGGAAGCGGCACTCCTAAAGCAAATTCCTTCTTTCAGGGACTGAAAACTTGGAGGCAAATGATCCTAGAAATGTGTAAAGATCTGTATTCTCACTGGCTGAGGGAAAACAATTACGTAGAAATGCATCAGCCTTCAATGAAATATTTCTGCTGAAAAATGTGGAAAATGGCCTGATGATGTATTTGTACCACATCACACAGTGATGGTAAAACCCTTCCATTTCCAACAGCAGTTAAGGGAGGGGTTAGTCAGAAGCTATTTAAGGCAAATATCAGTATCTCAAAGGTTGAAAACAGCTGGAAGAAAAGGTCTTTGACACATCAACAGACCAATTTCAGAGAATGGAGCTAATGTGGTACCAAAGAGGATAAACAGAATTACACAAACAGTTACAGACTCCACAGCCCGGTTTCAGTGCTGGCCAAAATGAAGAAATATCTCATATGGATGTCAGTTAATAATATATTAAAAGATGCTAATGTATTTAGTACCAATTAATTTGATTTTTTTTTTTTTGTAGTGAAACCACCATATGGCAAGAGTGCTTACTTCACAGGGGTGCCCCAGAGGCCAAATTTTGGCCCTAGAAAATTCAGTATTTTTTGATCAATGACCTGAAAGAAAACAAAAACAGTACTGATAAAGTTTGTCAGTGACAAATATCATGGAAAATAGAGAATAACTCAAGCTTATGGATACAGACGGATTTGAATTCTTTGATAAGTAAGGCATGATAATGGCCATGTATGTAGACTGAAGAATCTAGTCCATGGAGATATGGAGTCTCCTGAGGGAAATTGGGGATTACATTTGTTAATTATCTGATCAACATCTGTCAGTGCTTTGCCATGACATGAACTATATCCTTGGATATATGGCCTGAGGAAAGCAGTAAGAAGAGGATCACATTACCACTGCTTTGGTACCATTGTAAGCCTACAAAAATACTATGTTCAGGCCCTGTCACTTCACGGATGGAGTTAGAAAGTGGAAGAGGAGGTTCTTGATATTTATCTTGATATTTATTACTTTTTTTTAAAAAAAAAGGAGTTTAAAGTGTGATTTTGATTTCTTTAATTGTGAGGATAATTAACAATTAGAACAACTTACCAAAGGCTGTGGTAGGTTCATCATCGCTGGAAATTTTGAAATCAAGATTGTATGTTTTTCTAAGAGATGTGCTTTATTTCACCCACACCTACTAGGCTTGCAGCAGAGATTAATTCTGGGAAGTCCCGTGGCATCTGACACACATGAGGTCAGACCAGATCACTGATGGTCAGCTTGTGGCTTTCAGGCAACATCCAGTGTTGCTCGTATCAACAGGAAATTTAAGAACTAAACTAAGACGGTCTGGGAAAGCAAAGTATGATGTTGCCTCCATCTAGGCCTCTCCTTGTTGCCACTATAAGCCAATAGTTCCTCGGGACTAATGGACAGGGTGATCACAAATTAGTCCCCCTCTGGCTTTGACCCTTGTGAATGCACCATATGGGCTTGGATCCTCAGCTGAGCCTCATGCAACAAGAGGATTGTATTGCTTGTAGAAACCACACTCCTACTGTTTCAAGGGGAGGTGTGCTAGTTGCCTACCATCCAAGGGAAGGTTTTAAAGATGAAGGCATTAACATTACAAAGACTATGCTAAACCAGAGAACTTCTAAATAAGAATTATTGCTTGCAAAAAGGGAAGCTACATACTCCTAGAAAAGGCTGGACAACAACACTTTTCAGAGAAGAAAAGGGATCACTTGGGATATATTTCATTTGTTCTGTCTTGGCTCTTTCCTGACACAAGAAGTCCAAGTATGGATTGTACAAGGGAAAAATATATATAACCAAACCTGCAGCTAAAGTCAGATAAGAGACTTGAGCGATTCGGTTGGAATGAACCTGTAATGAGACACAAAGGATTCATCTGCAGTGAGAGAGAGCAGCATTTGAAAAATTGTACACAACACTGTTCAAACAGGGGGGCTGGCACTATCTAGCCACTTGGGGTGGATCAAACCATCCCTGTGAAAAGGGAATCCTATCACTTTCTCAGAAATGCAACCTCAAACTTGTGTCCAAATATGTTCCCGCATTGTATCGTGCTGAAAGACAGGGAAGAAAGGAATGTCTCATCCGGAGGAGCAGAGCCTTACTGTTTATGAGGAGTTCATACCTGGCAGGGAGACATGCTCAGGCTGTATGCACGCTATTCGGGAAAGGGTGGAAGAAGACACAGTGCAACAGGAAAGGAACAAACCTGATTTGTTGACAGTGTCATCAAACTCAACACTGGTGGAGTGCCCGTTGTTGAGGATGATTTTAGCAGAAGCCGGATCGTAATTGGGATTTAGAGGACGCAGAGAAGGATCATACTTGGTTTCCTCAGTTTTGATGTCGATGGGTGACTGACGGTCTCCATTAGCGACAGGAAAAACCTCCTTCCAGTGGGCAGGCCCTGCAACGTATTGGAGGAGAAGTCTAAATTGATGGCAGCGCCCTGCTTCATATGACAGAAGACTCTCCTTGGCTTGTTCTTGTTTGCATCTTTTAAATTCAAGAAGAGTTCATCAGAAGAACACAGGTCAAAATACTCATCTACTTTTGCTGCACCACATTGCACCAGCAGCTCTCAGGACCCCTTTATCTACCTTGCATAGCGTACCTAACTCTATTTGGCCTTTGAACAAGTAGATATTTAATTATCTAGTAGTAGATATTTAATTATTCACAGTTAAGATTCAACTATGCACAAGACATATCCAACAAATGCTCATTCAAATCAAGCAGGCACTGTGCCCCAATAAATATTCAACATGCCATCTTTGCCTAATATTATGTCTCATGGTGTCTTTAAGGATTACCTCTTATCTACCCCAAATCCCTTCTTTATCTGGTTTTTTTACAACTTAGTCATTGGCTGCAAAAGACCTGAGAACACACCTTCTACTGACTATGCTGAATGAGATGGGGAGATGTCAAAAAAGATAAAAAGGCTGAGCAGTGCCTGGGGCCTGGGCTCTCCTGGGGTCAGATGGCAGTGCCTGCAACCGAAGCATTGCTGCACACCCCATCATCTCTCCCAACCCATCAACCCTGCAAACCAGCCGTCACAACACCAGTGTCACCCTCAAACCACGAAGTCTGCACACACACATGCACACACGCACGCATACACGGACACACTAGTAGAGTGCTGACAAAATCAGCAAGGAACAGGAACACTCAGGACACTGGTGCCTGCATGAGGTTTGGATTTCTACCCCCTCCTGCTGACAAATGAGAGGAGATTTTCCAGGCACAGACTTGCACCACCATTCACCAGAGTTAGCTAGAAATTACAGCTACAGAAGCTGTTAATCAATACTAGTGATCTCCAGTTAACTTTCTCGTTGTGGTTTAACCCCGGCCGGCAACTAAGCACCACACAACGTCTCTCCATGCAAACTAAGCTGAAATCAGCTGAAAAGCACTGTCTCTGTAAATCAACAATACGGATGAGAGAAAAATACCAAATGTCATTCTAAAATAGTAAGAAAAGCTTCCCTGAAGTGATGTGTGAGGTGTTTCTCCTTATCTACTGAACACCAGAGAGTCCTCATTAAGAATATATGTGCCATCGTTGAACCATATTTGAATAACAAACAATGCAGAAAGAGGCCATAGAAGAAAAACAGGAACAATAAGTTGCCTGGGGGATACGTTCTATAAAGTAAAGATAGCGAACAAGGTTTAGGATGGAAAAGAGGGTAAGGTAAGGGAAAAGGAAAAAGGGAAAAAAAAGGGAAAAGGGAAAAAAAAGGGCTAATGATCTTTCAGTATTATGAAGAGCATAGTACTTGGGTTTGCTCCAGGCTTATCATGGGTAAGAAGCATAATAAATCAACTAAGAGAGACTGGATGTAAGAAAAACTGAAGTATGAGCATCAGAACCTGATCTTGTAAAATCTGCATCACTGGAAACCTCATAACTCCCTAGATGGAAGGTAACTGATCTCAGTCTAAAAATCAGCCTGTTGGTTTGGGTCTTCCTGGATGGCTTAGCTCCTAAATAAACATGATGACAAAAAAGGCTTAGAATGTATTACGCTGTGATTAATAGCCTAACATCAAAAGTTGTCAGACAGTTTTCCTTCCTCGACTTCAACAGAAGTGAACATAGCTCAGAAACTCACAGGTGCTCAAATAACCCAAGCGCCCCAGCAGTAAATCAGGGAGGGGAGCATCCCACGGCGCCCTGGGGAAGCAGCTTGCACAGCCACCTGGGCAGAGCCCGACCCTCCACTGAAAAGTGGAAGAGGGGAGGAGTAGCTTGTAAAGACCAGCCTAAGAGCTAAACCTCAGGTAGAACAAAGGCAAGGGCCTTCAGTCCTGAGTTTGTTAAAAAGTCCTTTCGTTAATGACTTCATTAACTAAACTCATTAAGCAAACTGCTTCTAAGGCAGAAGACAAAAATCCTACTGGTTTGAAATATAAAGCTGTTTAAACTTAATTCTTCTCACTTCACAAATGGCCGTCAAAGCTATTAAATATTTTAATTACATACAGTTTAGCACAGGATATAATTTTAATTGTGTTTAAATCCTTGTACCTTGCAGTTAGAGATGCAATGCACGATTTTATTAATGGAAGAAGCACCACTCCATCATTTATACCTAACAAACTGCTGTGATTTAGGATGCTTAGAAGCAGCTTACTGCTACTTAATTTTAATGCCTAGGAAATTTTTAAGCTGAGGAAAGGCCAAATATATTTATGTGCTTAACTACTTGGTCCTATTGCTCCTATTGTGCATTCATAAATAATACGAGTATGCCAAAAAGAGGACCCAAGGCTGTGATTCTGGCATTCGCTAATTATGCAACAATAAACTTCAGTTCCAAAAAGACATTGTACTTGCTTTTGTACTTGTCCTTAGCTCCGATAACCGAAATCATGTTTTGCTTTGGTGATTAAACATCTGTCCTAACACAAGACTGCCAGAAATCTGACCTTTCAAAATATACAGGAAAATATCAAGAAACTTCAGCTCTTTTTGCACCACTTGGTTATATCAAGTGGTATTCCTTACTAGATTACCTACCAGCAATTGAATACAATTATCATGCTCTTGCTACTCTATGAAAAACTGTGGCTCAATTGACTACTATGAACCCCATCCCAAAGCAAACTTTGTGTACGACTGTTGGAAAATAAGTCATTACAGTTGGAAGAGATGCTCAAATGCATGCCATACAATCAGATTCAAGCCTGTGGGATCTTCAGGGTGAAAATTTCTGCTGAATTTGGACCTGAATTATATGCCTCTGTCTCATCATAATGTACAGCTTAATTTTCTAGATATGTACATTAAGACATACCCAGGAAAGTGTAACTTACCGATTCATTTACCGAAGGAACATGATTAAATATACCAATTTTTGAACTTAGGAAATCCCCTCCTGTTGATGGGAAGAAGTTCTTTTGCTAGAGGAGATTACCCAGTAGCTCTTAACAGTCAAAGCTGTTGTGACCAAGATTTAGGACAAAAAACGGAACCATCTGCTCTGCAATGCTCACCGCTGTCACCTGTAGATTAGATTACCGCTACAAGATTGTGTGCCTTTATTTTGGCCACAGAGTTACCAAATGCAATGCCCACCGCTGTCACCTGTAGATTAGATTACCGCTACCTGTGGTACCCGTCAGCATCCCATGCGTTTGATTCATGAACTAGATCTTGTAAGGAAGGCAGCTGGGAGTTGGCCAGGAAATGCAACTCGCTGCAGCACCTAACAGCGGTGCGCTTTTACCCAGCTGGAGTTAAAGGTGATGAGTTTCATCAAAAGGCTAGACTAACTTGAAACAAGCCTAGCGGAGGCATCACAGGGTATGGTTCAGTTGCAGTGAGCCTCTATACTTGCATAAATAGAGTACATACAGGGGAAAAAGTGGATTCGTTTTTTTGGACAGTTTGCTATTATATACAGAAAATTTATTAGTTTAGTACAGCCTGATCTTTGAGGGATCACATGCTCATTTATTCCTAAAGAGAACCCGTTGCTCAGTTTAACATACAGAAAATGCTTTAATTTATAAAGTTAGGTTGCAAGTTATTCAGTTGCATATTAGGTTACAGTGAGATTAGCTCTAATAAAAACAATTGGAAATTCATAATGGGCAAAATAAGGTGCTGTTTTTTAAAGCGGGCAGCAAAATTATGTAAATACTCTTAGGGAGAAATAAAGTATAAGGAATTCATATCCCTTTTAATTTATAAAACTCCTCAGTGTTATAGTTGTGACTAGATCAAGAGACATTTTTGCAGTAAAGCACAATACATATAAGGACTTTCCATATATTTTATTAAACAAATAGTAAACCAAAGGCAATTGATTCTCAATTTGTCTTCTACAGCAATTCCTCCGTTAACTAAGGGGGCTGTTTCTGTGAAGGGGTGAGAACATTTCCCTCTTCCCAGGAACCTTGAGCAGCTAGGAAAAGCATGCACGACGCCACACTGAAGCCAGTTTTCAAGATCTCAGTAGTACGCCTCCATACATAAGCACCATCAAAACTGTGAGGCAAGAACAGCGGCAAGAAAGCAAAGGCCAAGGTTGGCATAGAAATAAAATAATGCCTCTTTGCATTTCAGAAATACATGCATCAAAGCAGGGGAGAACATTTAATTCTGTGTATACCAGTCAGACCACGTCCTTATACATAGATATACCATATATGCTTACACGCATGTTAATATTTGACAATTTACTTTATGCACATAATGATTTATGTTGCGGTTATTATTGCTAAGCAGCAAATGAATTTCCCCCTGGTTTAAAAAAAAAACCCAGTGCTTTTATCACCGCAAGTAACAAATGCAGAACTCAGAACGAATGCAAATGTCTTTCTAACTCTTTATGAAATCAACTTTCATATAGGACTGTACCAAATTTAATTAATTTCACTTTGTTGCTACCTCCTTAGCTGCAAAAGCTAATCTTAAGTCTCGGGGAAACTGTACACGGCCATGCAGGGTAACAGAATTTTTCAAGACCTAGAGCAATCTCCTGCACCTGCTGTTCAGCAAAACAAGAAATCAGCAAAACCAGTAAAATAAATGCATAACAAAAGAGAAAAAGCTGAGAAAGAAAACCGATGCTAGGGAAGAGCAGTGAAGTGTTGGATGTCCACAAGACACCTGGGAGAGGCAGGGGGAAGGGGGTGGACTGATGAGGAACTACCCACCCCAGCTGCTGGGGGCTCCAAGAGGGGAGAGAGAGAAAGCCAAACTCCACCCCAAATATGTTATCAGCCCGTAAACAGAATTT